AGGAAAAACAGATCCCTTGAATAGCAGCTCCTTTTGTGAAGGCGTCACCGTGAGCTGCTTGGCGTGTAAACATACCTAGTGGGATTCTCTCGGTACGGCTGCAGAAACATCCCAGCAATGCAGCGTGCGGTTAGTCGCTGCTGTTCCCCGCTAACTACTATTGCCAGCCAGGATTTCACACTTGGCTTGTATTGCTGCTCTCTTCTGCCGAAGGGGAAAGCAGCCCCTTGTTCAAGGACGCAGCTCCCTCTCCTGGGCAGCGGTGAGAACGCTTGTGTGTGTGCGTGCAGGTTCTCCGTCCTTGCTGGGTTCAAAGCGCCCAAACGGAGATGAGCCTGCCTACTGGGTAACAACAGGTAGGCCAGCTTTCCCATCGGGGCTCAGCACTGACAGCACGAGTGTCCCTGAGACCGGACAAGGGTGCTCCTGGATGAAGAACTCCAGCATGGATGACCAGCCACAACAGGCCGCAGCAGGGAGCAGGTAGGTAGGGCCTTGACGTGATCGCCTGCAAAGTTCGGAGTGAGGAAGCCCCACGGTGCCACCTGGCCTGGGCTGCTCACGACACAACCCGTGCTCGCAGAAGTCGCGGGTCATACAAGATTATCCAGTCTGGGTCAATGTTCGTGGCACTTTCTGAAGCTCGGGATCACTGAGATCATCTCGAGAGCGTCACCCTAACACCCCCCCCCGAGGCGCTTGCACTGGGGAGGTTTCAGACCAGCCATGCCTGAGAGATCACTGCAGAGCAAGGTCATGCTGCCTCCCCCACAGGGTCCCAGGCAAGCACCGCATTACTGGCACTGATATAGCCCCATAGGCAGCTGACAGCCTGGTGGGACAGAGGGGAGCTCTGTTGAAGGCTCAGACGATGGCCAAAGCTTCATGACGGCTCCCTCCCATCCTCGTTTCCCTCCACCTACCCTGCGCAGTCTCCTGGAAAGCCTTCTTTATCTCTCGGAGAAGCTCTTCAGCCACCGCTGGCAGCGTGGTGCCCAGGTCGTCAGATATGCAGTCGAACCCTGGAATCAAGACAGCAGTGGGAGGCTGGAGTCAGCGCAGATACAGCGAACAAACGAGAATGGTTTCATGGAGTGGGCAGATGAGGCCAAACGAAGGGCCCTGATCATCTAGCTGCCCTGCTATTGCCGAGGGAGTTTTCACCTTTTTTCTTTTAAGAGCCAGGGGGCTGGCAGACATTTTTGAAGCGCAGCCTGCATTTCAGCAGAGCCTCTGTCACCCCTCCCTGCTCACAAATGCACACGACGCACCCTGCCTCCTGCCCACGTAGAAACCAGGCATTTGGGGAGCTTCTAAGGCTGTGTTATTGCCACTGTACCTACCCTGCACGGGTTAATCCTCACAACTCCCCTCCTGAGGGAAGAAAGCACTGCTATCCCCTCTTTGGCAGAGGGCAGGCCAGGAGTGACCAAGTGACTTGCTTTACCTCCCCTGCCACTGCTGAATCCAAGGAAGGGGATTCACCCCAAAGCTCTGATATAGGGCCAGGTGCTGAATAGGGAGGAGCGAAGGAAAGAGCAAGAGGAAAAGGGCAGAAGGAGAAAGAAGCTCGGGAACGGAAAAAGGAACCAGACTGATGGTGGGAAAAGCAAAGAAAAGAGAAGTCATGGGGAAAAAATACAAGGACATAAAATGAGGGATGTCAGAGAAAAAGGCAGGTCCTCTACTTTCCCTTTCTAGCCCGCACATCGGCGTGGTCTTGCACTGCTGCTAGCTCACGAGGCCTGGGTCAAGGCAGAGGGGTGTGAAGCATGACCTTGGCTGCAGGAGGGAAGCCTGAGCAGGCTCTAATGTATGTCCCCAAGTAAGGGATGCCCTTGGCCCCAGCTTGGATGTTATTGCCAGCCGTGAGCCACCAAACTAGAGAAACTCGAGGGGGGGACTCCCCACCAAGTGGGTTCTGTAGTGTGGCTCAGGCACTTGTGGCATCACCATCTGGGCCTCTGCACACCAGGCTGCTGAGACCCGCCTCGCTGGTTGTAACCTACCTGGTGCTGCAAGGCCTGGTCCAGAGTCACCGGAGCATCCCTGGGGCGGGCACGGGGCTGCAGCGCCCATGGGGCTGCTGCACGGCCCAGGTGGGAGGTGAGGGCATGAGGCCCAGAGCTGAGCCAGGGCTGTGGCTGTGTGCACGGGGTGGAGGGGCTGGGGGCCGCGTGCGTCTGGGCAGCCCACAGGGTGTGGGGCGTGCGGGCCAACTGGGCACTGCCTGGTGCTGCAGAGGGCTGAGCCTCTGCTTTCCAGCGCCCCGAGTCAGGCTGGCACCACAGCCTCCAGCACGGGCTCAATGCAGCCGGGAGGCCCGAGCGCCCCGGGCTTGCTCTGACCCCTGCTCGGCTCTGTCAGCGCTTGGTGCTGCGCTGGGACACGG